AGTTACACGATACTGTCAAAGGGCAGTTCTGGTGTTTGATGGCTTTTAATATTTTTGTCCATTTCAAAAGACGAAATAAACGTAATCAATATTTACAATTCCTAACTCACCAGTAATTATTCCAATAAAGATTTATTCACGCTACTAAGCATCAATACATATTCTTCATAGCTCTAATAAATCTGCTCCCAGAAAATAAACCATGCTCAGCTACGGCTTTAGGGAGAATAGTAGCAAACAAGAAGCTCAGAATGTGATTAACCAAACTCTTCAGCACATGGGGCTTACAAAATATGGATTTAAAAACCCAAACATTTAATGAGAACTATCAAGAAATAAGAATCATATATCCCCAAAGGGACTGAATGTTACATTTAGGGTAGTTTCTTAGCCAAATAACTCACATGCAGATTTTAAACAGCACTGACTATTCACAAGAAGTCATTCTACACATGTCTACTTCATAAAATAAACCACAGAATAATAATATCCAAGAGTTACTGAGAATCTCGTTAGCTGAGTCTGTTTTTAACATGAACACAGTCCCCACAAGAACCTCATGAAGACGCTATTTTGTTCCCAAGTGACAAACAAGCCAACTGTGGCTTCAGGAGACTGCTGAAGGTCATAGAACGAGGGTGAGAAGGGTTGGGTATTTGTCAAATTCAGACTCACACTTATTTTTTTAAGGTATATGTAAAATATGATGTCCAAAACTTAGTCATTAACAGAGCTTATGACTAAGAATCATTGCCAAGCTCCATCACATTTCTGTTTGAATAAAGCTACATCCAACAACCTTTTCTGGGTAAGCTTCAATTAGCAAAATCTGTTGATAAGCTAACTGGTTATTAAGTGTGTTACCAGTATTCCATAGTAGTTGCTGTATAGCCCAAGCTGGTCTAGACTAGTGATCCTCTGCTTCAGCTTCCTAAAATTTTGAAGGTAGTAGTGTATGCCTATAATCTCAGTTGTTGGAAGGCAGCGGGAGGAGTATTAGGATTTCAAGAACTGCCTGAGCTACACAGGGACTTCAAGACCAGCCTGGGCTAAAGAAGACCGGGTCCCTCACATACCCAAGCCCTGCAAAAAATATATATGAGAGTAAAGAATGAATATATGCTTTCAACATCTGAATCATTCAGGAAGTATTTGTCTCTCTGTGACTCTGTCTCTCCAGCCCTTCATCTATCCCTACACTGCCATGTTGTTCTTTTAAGTCCAGGAGTTCAGATTTTTACAGATCTACTTGCATGAGAATTGTTCACAAAACACAACAACGAACTTCAGCATTAGGTGAAGAAACTGCTTATAGGCATTACTCAGTCAATATTTCATTCCTATTTTGACAATGTATGACTGACAAATGCATTTGCATATATTTATGGTCTACCACATGATATCTTGGTATATGTACACATTGTGAAATGATTCTGTGTTAGAATTCTCTAGAGGAACAGAACTGTTCAAAGTGTAGCAGAGGATTTATTAGATTTTTACTCGGTGGGGGCTGCGTAGTCTAATGACAGCAGCCTTCCACATACTATAGAAGCAGAGAATTGCAGCTGTTGGGTCCATGAAGATAGCAGTCTCAGAAGCCCACCTGACATCAAAGGCCATCAAAGGAGAGCTGATGGCCCCCAGTCCAGTCTGGAAGGCTGAAGAACCTGGAGCCTGGCTTAGCAAAGAACAGCAGCAACAGGTGCGCTCACAGCATGAAGTCTGGACGGCAGCAACACTGTTCTTTCTAGCTGGGCCTTGTTGGAAGCTGCCATTCTGGGAGCTCCTTCTCTGTCCTTCTTCGAAATGTCTTCACAGATTTCGGCAGAGGCACTGCTCTAAGCTGATTCCAGATTCTGTCGAGCTGACAATCAAGATTAGCTTCAAAGAAACAAGCACCAATGAAAATGACCATCATCATCAATCCTTTAAAGCTGCAAAACTCACCTTCAGCTGAACTTGGATTTATGAGTGGTAGAATACAAATTTTGTCTCGACACATTTTTTTGCAATCCAAGTAAATGAGGAAAAAAAAAAACAGAAGAAAAAAGAATGCTAATCAGCTCAGGCTGCTATAAAATGCACTAGTCTGGTGCATAGACAGACTAGAATGGCTTATTCACCAGGAATTGCTTCTTGTAGTTCTGGAGGTTGAGTAGTCCAAGATCAGGGTTATCAGCTGATTCAGTTCCCTGGTGATGACCACTTTCCAGGCCAACAGATGGCCAACTTTCCTGTGTCCTCACATGTTGGAGTCAGAGCTGGAAGCAAGCCCTCTGCTGCCTCTAGTAAGGGCACAAATCCAACCATGAGGGCAACATAGTCAACAGCTGTCACCCAGATTTGAGAACTATATATTAAAAAGCATAACGACTGAACCCTCAGATTCATTTCTTTTACTCAACACTGGCAATAACTTTTAAAAATAAGGTCGTCAAATAAAGAATGGGCACTAAGTGTATGGGGGGCAACTAAGTGTGAAGTCGTAATAGGAGAGGAAGGAGTTGAAACCAAATCAACTACTCTAAGGGACTTACTCCATTTCTCTTATTACAAACCTTATTTAGGGAGACTGAAGAAATAACTTTTGGTACAAGAGTTTCTTTTTTTCTATTTTTTAATTGATATTTTTGTGACTTTCAGACAATATAATTTGATGGTCTCTAGAGCCCCTCCTTTACCTACACTCCCCCTTATTGTCGCTACCCAATTTAATGCACATTATTATACAAATAATGAGGTCTACAGAGTCTAATTTGTGTCTCCAAATGCCCTTCAGTGTGGGTTCACCCACTGGAGCCCTACCAGGATTAACACATCTCATAATTCTCACCAGAGTTTTCCTTATGCAGCAGATGGTGATTAACACAGAAATCCATACTGGCTAATGCACACAGAACAAGAGGCTGCAGAGTGCTTATCTGTGCACAGGACTCCTATATCAAATGCCTGCCTCCCAAGGCTCAGTAATCATTGTGGAAGAGGGGGCAGAAAGACTGTAAGAGCAAGATGCAGTGGATGACCACAAGAAAAGTTTTCCAGACAGCTGCAGTTATTCATACGAACTCAGCAAAAGGTGACAGTATGCACAAGTCCTGTGCAAGCTCAACCCAAACAAAACCCCAGCACAGGGATAAGGAAGTGGGTAAGAGGCTGTGGTAACAGACTGCTGCTGGGAGAGGCAGAGACAGGCTCTTTCAAGCATGGTGTCAGCTTCTTAAACATAAAGTTTAAGTTGTCAACTGGAGCGCCTTTAAATTTTTTATTTAATATACAGAGCTGTTAAAGTTACCACAGAATTTTTCTCTCTAGGAGAATCTTCTCATGCCCCTTACTTCCCCGGTGTGCTAGGCTGAATCACAGCCAGCTTATCTTGCCTTTTCTTAAGAGCAGCTAAGGACTGCAAAATGAAAATGTCAGCCACAAACAGCCCATGTTCTTGGAGACGGTCTTCCATGCCACAAGTAAGCACTACCTGTTCTTAAAGAATAGCATCTTATTTTTCTAAGAGTTCATATATATTTTTGTACATTTTTTCTGGTCTATTGTGCTACCACACAAGTTAATGTGTTCCACAATCTTTTTCTGTTTTTTCATCTTGTTTTCAAATACATGACTAATAGTTGTGACTTTACTACAGCTTTTTTGTATCTAGACTGCTAGGGAATCACAATGGGAAGAAGCACCACATACTACAATCTGTATGAATAAATGTAATATTTACCTCAGGTATGTACTACTTGAAATATTCTAAATAAGTAAATATTTAAGTACAGGCCAACAATTTTGGCAGTATTTTAGTCACTGTGATGTTCCCGTCACTTTCTCAATTAGAAATGACATGCTTTGCACTTCCTATGGACCAAGACTGACGGACCCTCCGTTAGGCCACTGATTGGACAAACTTCATGATTCTTCCTGGTTTTTTGTTTTTGCTTCCTTTTTCCTGTTTTCATTCCCTCCCTTTCCTCTTTCCCTTTGTTTAAATGGACACATGTGCCATCTGCCTAACTCACAGTGGTGATATTAACGTAGTCTGCTCCTTTGTGAAGGCATACATAATCATTTGCTGTTAAAATATGAGCTCGAGAGGTGGCTCAGCTGTTAAGAGCACCCACTGCTCCTTCAGAGGTCCCAAGCTGGGTTCTCAGCATCCAATGCCGGCAGCTCTTGTAACTCCAACTCTGGGGTATCGGCAGGCACCTGTACACGTGTACAGAGATCACATACATGCATACAGAAAAGTAGAAAAATAAATCTTGAGGATAATCAGACTAGCAATTTTACTGATGTGATTTGTATCTGCTTGACGTGACCTTTAGCATTCATTCATTCATTCATTCATTCTCAAGGCAAAAGCATTTATTTAGAAGAGATACAAAGAAGAGGGCATGAATGCCTTCCCATTTAGCCAGGGCCAACACTCTTCAACGAAACCACTAAAATTCACGGCACTCCTTAATTAGAAGACACTGTACAGGGAAGCAGCACTTTCATCTGGAAAGTAGTAAAATAGCTTTACAAATGTGACAACTAAAAGAGACCTAAGAAGAAAACCAGGTTAGTACCTGATTTACAATACATAGGTGGTGACTCAGGCCACTTTTTACTCTACTTTATGAGGCATGAAGTTATTCCAGACCCCTTAAAGGTGACAAGTCCAAAAATGAGAGCTAATTAACTTCCACGCCAGCATTTCCTCCTGTAATCTGTGCACACCAAAAATCAACATATTCCTGACTGGGTAGTCCAGAGAAGTCAGTTCCTGTCTGCAATGTTTCCATGGTCTGCTTTCAACGGAAATTAAGAACTACAGGTTTTCCTAACACCAATTTGAATTTGTTGAACTTCTGAAACATCTTTGTTAATTATTTCATGAAATCACTCTTACTGATGTAGGTGCTGTGGGTGCTTCAGAATTTTTGTTGGTGGCAAAACTTGTTAGAAAAGCCTGTGTCTGAATCTTGGTTCTTTTATGCTTTTCCTGCTTACTTGAGTCAATGAGCTGTGTCCAGACAGTTGGAAACTTACTATCCGGGTTCTCGAGTCGCATACATGTCGGGGACTGGCCTGAGGGGATGGCCCCTGGCCTGGCTGTGACCTTGGCACCACGGAGGCTCAACAGGGTCCTGAGCACACACTGCGCAGTGCCCTCACCGATGGAGTGCGAGCCCTGCTGCCAGGTGCTCTGCTCACGCCCTGCTTCGTAACTTAAACTCGCCGCCAGGCCTTCGGCAGCGCGACCCTAACTCCCACGGGCCTGTGGCTCTCAGACTCCTTTCTGTAGGACCGGACGAGGCTGCGATCGCGCAGGGCCGAGCCGCGGGGCAGCGGCACCACGGTGCACGCAGGCGCTCCCGGGCACCACAGGACGGCCCGCAGGCCCAGGGGCAGCCCTGCCGCAGAGCCAGGACACGCCTCAGCCCGGCCAGCTCCCGGCCTCCCCTGGCCCCCGGCCAGAGCCGCCGCCCTGCACCTCTCCTCCCGCGCCGGCCCCAGCCCGCCCCACGCGCGCCACGCTGCCCCTCCGC